CATTACAATGTCAAATCCAGGAAATCTCACTGGTACGACCCCACAGACCGTGTTCAGATTTCCCCAGTGTTGACATGTTCTCCTTTGTGTGTGTGTGTGCATGTATGTAGTTCGGTGTCGTTTTTTCACACGTCTAGGCTTGTTTAACCACCGTGATCAGGATAGAGAACCGTCCCATCGCCCCAGAAGAGCTTCCTGACGCTGCCCTTTAGAGCTGCACCCCCGGCCCGTGCTAGCCCCTGGCGACTACTAACCTGTCATCTCACACTTTGCTTCTGGGGGGCTTGCATCCTAAAGAAAGATGCAGACACAACCCTCAGTAATGTGGGAAATACTATATATAAATATGAGTGCCTATGTAAACAGGAATGAAATGATACCGTGACTCTTGGCTGCAGTTAATGCAACATTTCTGAGGGTGTCTAAATCAAATTAATCCCATTGACAGGGGCCAGAGATGGGGTCCTTTCTGCCATTAAAAAGAAGGGGGTGGTGCTGAGTGAGCTGACATAGGATGGTCCTCACAGCAGATGGTGAAGGGCAAAGGACGGCACAGTGTCCTGCGTGGGTGTGTCTCTGCCTACGTGTGTGTCTCTGTCAGTCTCTGCATGTGTGTCTCTGTGTACGTGCGTGTGTGCACGCGTGCGCACGTGTGTGGTTAGGCAGCTTTGTAGTTGCATGTGTCATGCATCTACACATAAACAAAGCCCCAGTAATGGTGTCACCTCTGGAAAGAGAGGCCAGGGGCGGAGGGAGGAGGAGACTCTCTTTTCCTGTTTGCTCTTATGCTGTGTCACTTTTCACCATGGGCATGACTTGTTTTTATTAAAAGAAATTTAAATCCTTGTGGATCCTCCTAAGCAAGACTGACCAGAAGTCCTGTGTGGTCATATCCTCGCATTCTCCTCTCCCCTGGGTCTGTCAAAGGCCCCAGGGACTCAGCAGTCTGGAAAAGTCTGCAGCTTCCAGTCACCATGGCAGCCGTTGCTCCTGGTGACCACGAGATGCAGGCCTGGCTTCCCAGCGCTGTGTGCAGCGCCCCCACACCAACCCGGGTCCTGCACGCTAAGATGTCCCTCATGTGCCAGTGCGTGGGTGACTTGGCACGGGCTTATTCCAGGAAACAGCGTGTGCAGCGCTGTGCTGCGTGCCACACGCCCACAAAGCACAAATGTGCTCCACCTGGGAACATCGCCCTCCACCTTGCAGTGCAAAGTCCCCATCCTCCTCCCCTCCGGGATGATGTGGCTTCACCCCCATTGGTCTCTAAACGCAGAGTGCTGCACAGAACTTGTCTTCCGGGCAGGTCCTTCAGAGCCCTCTCCAGGCCCACTCAACTTCCTCTCCCCGACCAGAAGCAGGAAGAATTGTTCATTTCTCCTTAGGGGGCTGGAGAACCCTTACTGAGCATGGAGAGAAAATCAGACTCCCCTCAAAGAGCTGGGGCTCCAGATAGCTTTGTTTTTTTCCCACTGAATCAACAAAAGCAATAAATGACACAAGTTAATTTCTCAATGAATTATTGCTAGACATTAAATTTTCAGTAAGTTCTTCTCCTTTGATTCAGATACGTTCTGATAGAGTGAAAGTAAAAGGCAGTGAAAACTAGAGGAGAAAACTACAACAGCTCTGTTGGGGACAAGTGGGCTGGAGAAGGGAACATTTGTGGTGGCACCTGAAGGTTGAATAGGAGTTCACCAGGCAGAGCAACGAGGAGAGCTATCAAAAGCTCGGCGCCTGACTCTGTCCAGACATTTCCCAAACTGTACCAAACTGCCGTGGTCTCAACCCCCCTATGTTTCCAGGGTTTAAAGCGCAGGTTCAGGTGAACTCAGAGCCTGGAGAAGGGCCACGCCTGTCGGCCGGCTCAGACGTGTTTGGTCAAGATGGGGCCGCTGACGTGCCAGCGTGGACCGAAGCTCCAGACGCTCCAGGGCTGATCTTGTGGAACCAGGGCTCTGGGAACTTCTGGACCGCGGCCCTAAAATGAGGCCTTGCCATCCGTTCACGCCCTGGTTCCTGTGGGTGCAAATCGTGTAGGATCGGAGGAAGGAAAGGAAGGGAAAGGACGGCAAGGCAAGTTAGGGGGAGGAGGCAAAGGCAAGGCAAGTGTGCTTTGGAGAGGATTTCAGGCCACGACTCCTGGTGGGAAGCAGAGACAGACATCATCCGGCCAGGACGCTGACTCACCCCCGCTGCCTGGCTGGGCTCTCCAGAGACAGAACCAGTAAGACATAGAGATAGATAGATATACACACACATTTATATACATGTATGTAAATAAAATATATAGGTGTGTGTGTGTGTGTATGTGTACGTGTGTATATATATATATTTATTAGGAAGAATCAGCTCACATAATTATGGAGGCTAAGAAGCCCCTGCTCTGCCCTACACAAGCGGGACGTGCAGGAAAGCTGCTGTGTAGTTCAGTCCAAATCCGAAGGCCTGAGAACCAGGGGAGTCCCTGGTGTCAGTCTCAGTCTGAGGACAGGAGGACACTGGTGTTCCAGCTGGAGTAGGCAGGCAGGAAAAAGGAGTGCCTTCTTCCTTCTGCCCTTCATCTTTTGCTCTGTTCAGGTCCTCAAGAGACTCACGGGTGCCCACCCACAGCGGGGAGGGCGTCTGCTTTACAAAGTCCACTGATTCAGATACTAACCCCATGGGGACACTCTTTTACAGACACACTGAGAAATAATGCTTTGCCAAATGTCTGGGCACCCCGTGATCCAGTCAAGTCAACACATAGAATTAACCACCACCCCGGCCTGCCCAGTGGAGCGCGCACATTAGACCGCATTTCCCCGAACCGCCTGTGGTGAGGGAGCTCACCCCGTCCACTGTGTACGGACACTTGCGTAAAACACAACAAAAATGAGTCACTGGAAAATTGACACACAAAACAAAGACATACAAAATATGAGCCTCAACTTTTTACTATTAGATTCAACTACCTTGTTAAATTACAATAAAGATTTCTAACATTCTCAATTTCTATACTTATCTTGTCACAGATGGTAATAAAAATGTGTGAACAGGCACCGATCCACAGATCGCACTTTCAGTAGCCTGACTTAGGTTAGGTCAACAGTATTCTCTGGTTGCCAGGGATTATTTCCAGGGTGTCCTTATGAACTAAGCTAAATGTTGGGACTGTAGCTGGGAATCCTGGGACAATTATTTGCTTACAAGGATATCTAGCCAAGGAATGCCATTTTAAAAGAGAAAGGCTGTTCTTTGATCATCTTATCAAAGAATCATTAATTCATATCAGAAAACTGGGGATGCTTTAGTAAGGAGCATGAGGTGTCTGAGCAGTTGCGACCCACAGTATCTGATCTGGTCCAGAGATCAATTACAAATGCGAGGCAATTACAGATGCTGGGGGCAGGGAAACCTCTCCCCTGCATTTGTGTAGCTCTTGCACCACACAGGACTTAATGCTCAAACTGCATTATGAGGTCCAGGGCAGCCCCCAACTTACAGATGTTTTGCCCCCTAGTTTCCAGAAGTAAATATTTATTATATGAAGACTCGACTGAGGATGCATATCAAGGAGAGGAGGAAGTGGCACCTCCTGGCAGATCTGACCCTCAAGGCAGGTTACCTGCTCCTGCACAACTGAAAGGAGATCCTGCCAGCCTTGGAGGCTGTCCTGCCCCTTCAAAAGAGATCAAGCAACGGTTTTGGCCAATAAGAGGTTGCTTGGTTTAAGAAAGACTTGAGAAGTTAGCAGACAGTTCAGAGGACAGCTGTCATGGTGATAAAGAGTTCAGGAAAGAAGGTGTAGGAAAAGGGGTGGGGACATAGGGATTATTTAAACCTGACAAGAAGAGCCTGAATAAAGTGTGACTGGTAGTTGGTATTTGGACATTTGCAGGGGTGATTATGTAGAGCACATCTTTTTGAGCTTTTTTTGGGTAGCAGGGCATTCTTAGGAAAAGATCACATGTACATGGCCTGTAGGATGCTCAGGTAAGGCTTCTCAAGACTAGATTCTGCCTTGAGAATCTTAAGGCTTTGACACTCCCAGTCCCACCCTGCCACGAAGGGCTGAGGGAGCCAACGGCTTAGTACACTGTGACCAGTGCCTTCTTGGGGGAGTCACATACCTGTGATGAAATTAATGTTTAGGGCTGGGATTATCTGTATTTTAGGTAGGGTTAGAAAAAGTGTGGAGGATATAATGAATGAAAGACTGGCATAAAAGGAGGAAATGATTGATTTCTGGATATGAAAACACTGGGTTGACTTGTCAAAGGATGGGTGTGTGTATGGAGCACGTCCCAAAAGTCTTTGGACAGACTTTGGACAGTTTAAGCTTCACTAATTTCAGAAAAATAAGTGCTATAAATTTACCCCCAAGATTGCTTGAAGTTTAAATTATATACATTTACTTTATACTTATTTTTATGGATGCTGAATAATGAATTATTAATTTTAGCTATTTGAGTCGCAGATGTGAGAGCAATCTAGCTGTGACAGCTGTCACCCCATTGATCGCCAGGGTTAATTATTTGAGTCAGCCCCTCTGATTGAAAACAGTAAAGGCTGACTTTAAAACAAAAAAAATTATTAATTCAACATTTGTAACACTGAATAAGTGTAAAAGAACTTCAGATTTCATATCTGGGTTAGTGTAAGGCAAAAGCATTCTGTAGATAACAAGGATTCCAGGGCATGTGTGATCCTAAGAGTATAAATGTCTGAGTTCAAGCAGAACTTCCAGGTCCAAGTCAAGGGCTCCACATGGTAACAGGAGATGCAGGTAATATCTGGATTACAGAAGAAACAAAGAGAACATTTCACTGAGGCAAATATATGATATGAAGAAAGGGTGGAATGAGAAAATGGGATGGCAGGGGAGGGCAGAGTGACCCAGAGGGTCCAGGAGGGGCAGAGAGATCTGCTGGGCTGGTAGGGGGAGGGGCTGTGCCACACCCTCCTCCTGTTATCCCCTCCCCCACCCTCAGAACCCCTTTGTGACTCTCCTGGGCTCTGTGATGCAGGCCTGGGAGTATAGCCAGCCTGGACACCCTCACACTCAGTTGCTTCAGGCAACCCTGCTGTTCTGACAGTGGAGAAGGTTCTCTGTTTTCTGAACAGTCACCCTGAGCCAGGGCTGAGCTTTGGCTCAATTGTTTTGGATATGGAGCCTCAACTCACCCTTCTGGGTAGCTTGGGGTTACTCTTTCTGTACCTGACTTACCTGGTGATGAAATCACTTTTGCCAACTACCTGGGAAAATGAAGAAACCCAAAAGGTAAGGAACATCCAAGAGAGATTTTGTGTTGTTGGTTCCCGTTCCTATTCCCACATTGCTAAAGCAATTTGGTTGGCTTGGAGAATGACAGGACATCACCCTTCTAGGGGCAGAGGTCGGCCAGGGCTAGGGCTCAGGAGGATTAAGGTTTCCACCCAAGGCTCACAGGCTACCTATCTGGGTGTGGCGAAGGGTTCCAGAATAAAACCCCAAACACAGTGATTTCGTGGTCCTGGCCTGGACATTAGAGTGTGGGTTCTCTGAAGGAGAACAAGGTCTCCTGACACTTGATCTCCAGTCACATTCCCAGGTCAGGTGCCACTTGACCAAGCCTTCCTTCACGTGGGGCTGGCTGACCCAATGCCGAGAGCCTCCGAGCTCTGTCCCCAGGATGCAGGGTCCTCTGAGGGCACAGATGTGACTGTTGGCTTCCGATTCTGTGTCCTCCTTGAGCACAGGATTTCTGAGAACATCAAGTGGCAAAATCCTTCTTTGAATTTTTCAAAGAAGGAAAACTTGGAAATGTTTTATCACTTTTAAAAATTGATAAAAGGAACAAGTTAATTAAAATGGAGAGCCATGTTATTTGTGGATGGTGAGTGTCTGTGCTTCTTGGAGAAGAGCAGTGAGAGAAGGGAGTCCCGGCCTCTTACTCTTTTCCTTTTGTTTGTGGCATCAGGGTGGAGCCAAGAGAAGGAAAGGGGGAACATTGAAAGGTTCTGCCTGTGTGACTTGAGCTCTCCAAGGGTGAACTTTTCTGTTCCTTCTAGGAGGTCCCAGGTCCACAATCTCTGAGAATGTTGGTTGCTAGATAGTCTCTCTGGGAAAACAGAGCCCCTAGAGGAGGGTCATGTGAGCTGAGACACTCTCAGAGTCCCTGCTCTGCCCCTGCATGGGCACGCAGCAGGGGTGGACCTGTGTGTGACAGGTTGGGGAATGACTACTGGTTGGTGTGCACTCAGAGCTTCTGTCTCTTGACTTTGTACAAGTACTTTGACTTCCTGCATGCTCAGATCCCTCTTTGAGATAACCACTGATGTCTGTGCTTCATGTGGTGGTTTTGAGCATCGTGTGGGATAATGCATGTGAAAGGACTGTATAAATGAGGTCGCATACACATGTGAACCTTGTTAATATTATTGTTGACCATTGGACCTTGTCTGCTGATTTTGAGGGCTAGCAGAGTTTAATATTCCAAGGCTCTCCCATAGAAGGACTCCTGTATGATCCTTGTGCTTCTACCTTCCTTACATATAGCCTCACTTCCTGATTTCCCAGGTCAGAGAATTTGCCAGAGGAAGGAAACTGGTTTCTATTCTGAGAAGGTGATTAATCCTTCCCCTTCTTTCCTGGTCCCTTTTTAAAGCATGTTCTACGCATTTCAGGGATTCAGTGCCCCCTGCCGTAGTCATGGGAGGGAGTAGCCATGGGAACAGGAATGTGAATGAAGGCCTTGGGGAGAGACTAGAGAAGGTATTATGAAGTCATGGGTAGGAGGCAAGGTGAGTGGGTAGCAGGCTTCAGGTGGTCCCACCCCTGCTAGGCTAGCAGGCCCCCCTTTCCTTGTTCTGGTCCTGGCTGGAGCTTTGTACCTCCTGTCTTTGCAGCCTCCGGAGTGAGGATCATGGCACCATGAACCTCCAGACGCCCTCTGTGACATGTGTAATAGATCAACTGCTGAGCTCGTGAAAGTGCTGTTCCGGCAGTTTCTGAAAGATGCTGCTCCCTGTCTCACTTTTAGCTTCTACAGTTTCTGGAACAGAATTATCACACATTTTTTCCTCCACCCTCTCAGCAAGCCCTCCAGGAGACCTACTACCAGCCCCTCTGCCAGAGCCTTCTCCACCTCCTGCCTCCATTCTCTCACCTGACCTGATGACCCCTTTTTTCACTTACTTTCACCCTCACCATTGGTGACTCTCTGTCCCCAGAGCCTGTTCCTCCCTTGGATCCAAATTCTCAGTGGACCATTCCCCACCCCAGCTGCTTGCCTTTTCCCCTCTCCCACCACATCACACTCAGGGAGCAGATCCTGTCCTCCAGCCAGAAGCCACTTTGTCTATAAAAACCATCTTTGCACTTGACCCAATCTTTTTCTGAGATATCGACCCCTTGCCAAATTTTTCCCAGGCAGTGGATCCTACCCATTCCCATGCTTGTCATCATGCACTACCAACCCTTGCTTCACTACCACTAGATGGCATTTTAACTGTGACTTAATCTAAATCAATTTCCATCTTTTTGAAGCCTGTTCTGGAGATGTCCTCTCTAGATAGAGGTGATGAATTGTCGACTGATGTCCCAACAATCAGAGACATTGACCCTTCAAGCCTTGCAATTTCAGAATTCTCCTGGTGGTAGCCTTAGGCCAGGGACTTGTTCCCCTTCAACTTGGCGCCATGTGATTTCAAGCAAGAGCTGCTTGCCCCCACCCTTCTGAGGCCTCTTTTGCAGGAGACCCTGCAGCCAACCTTGAAGAACCTGGTAACCTCTCTTTTTTTCAACCCTGATGTTCTGGCATTCTTGGAGAGACAAGTTAAAAAGAGGAGTGATTTCCTGATGTGGAAAGGAAAAGGAAAAGAAAATGGGATCTTTTCCAAAGCAACTTAAGTCAGACTACCAACTAAATTCTTCAGCAAAAATGTTAGCATCAGTTGCCAATAAGCCTGACTTGGCAGTTTTCCTTCCAGAAAAGACAAACCAGAGGAGCTACACGTGCATCAGCAGCTCATACATCCTAAGATCCTTGAAGTAACTCATGGCCAATCCAACTTCAATCCCTACTCCCTATCCTATCACCTGATCCTCTGTCCCAGATTAGGTTCTGTTGAGTATATTTTCATAAACTCCAGAATGAGGCACTGTCTCTTCTGCCATCTGAAATTCACTGCCTAGAATGGAACGTGCTGCAGAAAGAACAGGAAATTGTGTGGGGTTTACCGTCTGTGGTCAGGAAATCTCAGCAAGACTTTTGTCCTCCAGCTCCCAACATTACGTTGGTCAGCCAGTCCTCCAAAGTTTATGTTCCAATCTCTATCCTTCCGGGGGAATTTCCTCTCAGCAGTGAGCTTTAAAAAAACTAGAGCACCACACTCAAAAGAGGCTCATCCAACACCAGTGGGGCCTTCCCCATAGGATCCATGAGTCTTTGTCCCTGCTGAATCTTGGAGAGAAATTCCTGAGACATCTAAGTCAAAGTTCCATCATGGACTTTCATGGATCTCTTTAAAGGTAAGAGCAGTAAAGATCTAGAGAATTTTGAATTGAGTCAATCTGGAAGCTTCCATGAGAAATGCTCAGAAATGCTTCTGCTAAAGAAGTATGTGAGGAAGGATCAGGGACACAGCCTGGAGAATGGCTCAAAAGGTCATCTTTTGAGTGACCCAAAAGAGGTCTTCAGATAAGGTTCTGGGGTCCTGTTCTGTCTATTCTGTGAAAGATCTAGAAAGTTGCATGGTGAGTCTGTTAGGGAATAATTAAAGGATCTCAAGTGTGAGCCTAGGTCTGAAACAACTTGAAAATCCTGACAGTACAACTAAGCAAGAAATCTGAGGAAATCAATGAGGGTCATATTTCTGGGACTGTACATAATTCATGGCATTCTATCAAGTACGCAGTGCCTCTGAAATCTCACAGCCAAATAAAACACGGAAATTTGGTACCGTTGGTGGGTGGGGACCACTGCCTGAGTACTTTCCAGGAAGTCTGCTTCCTTGACTTCAGCAAGAAAGATATATTGGAAGTCCGTATTGAAAGTTTTCATGTGAGGACAATGTGGGGTCTTCCCCCAAAGGCTTTTGAATCCATGCACATCTTTAACTTGAAAATGGACTCGAGTCTTTTTCCCTTTTTAACTTTGCCTCTTCAACCAACCTTATTTCTGGGGTGGATTCCAAAAATGAAGTCTCCAGGGCCCTTAGAAGAAGCTCTAAAGTTTTTAATGAAGACAAGTTGGGAACAACAAGTTCAGTTCCCAGCCTGGATCATCTCCCTGCCATCTCACCCATGGGCAAAGGAGGACAGGGAGCCCCAAGACAAGTGCCCTCTGATACTAGCCATGAGCTTACAGAGAATGTCCAGACAATTAAAGATGGCAGACAGACTTCTCTGTCCTCCCTCACAGCAGCAGAAACAAAGCGAGTCAGAAGCAGACCATACTAGCCAGTAGATACTGGCCAAAGCTGCCAACAAGGCAAGCTGGGCTGGACATGAGCCAACAAATAAGAAAATGGATTCCAGCAATGGAATTTAAAGGCTTCAGGGCAAAAGGATGAAGAATTAAGAATGTTTTTCCACACTCAACAGGTTCAGAGAGATATTCAAGGAAGAGGAGCTCCATGTTCTTTGATAACAATCTAGTAACAACTTGACAACCAGTGAGTCAGAAAGTTCCCCAGTGAGAAATTTGTTCCATTTCATTTAGTTCTGCTCTGACCTTTGTTATTTGTTTTCTTCTGCTGGCTTTGAGTTTGGTTTTCTCTTCCCGTTCTAATTCCTTAACATGTTATATTAGGTTGTTAATTTGGGATCATTCTGACTTTTTGATATGGGCATTTAGGCTATGGATTTTCCCATTAGTAATGCTTTTGCTGAATCCCAGAGATTTTGATAGCTTGTGTCCCCTTTATGGGACAGTTCAAGCAATCTTTTGACTTTCATCTTACTGTTTTTATTGACCCAATAATCATTCAGCAGCAGGTTGTTTATTTCTATGACTTTGTGTAGAATTGAGTATTTCTGTTGGAATTGATTTCCAGTTTTATTCCACTGTGGCCTAAGATACATGGTATGATTTTGATTTTTTAAAATTTTTTGCAAAATGTTTTGTGGCCTAAGATATGATCAATCTTAGAGATATACCATGTGATAAAGAGAAGAATATATATTTAGTAGTTTTGGGTAGAATGTTCTGTAAATGTCTGTTAGGTTCATTTGTTTTAGGTTCCCATTTAAGTCCAGTGTCTATTTTTTTCTGCTTTTATAATTTTTCCAGCTCTGACAGTGGAGTGTTAAAGAACCTGGAAATTACAATACTACTATTTATTTCCTTACTTTGCTCTAGTAGAATTTGTTTTATGTATATGGGAACTCCTGTGTTAGGTGCATATATTTTAAATTATGTCTTCTTGTTGAATCACTCCCTTTACCATTATATAATTACCATCTTTGTCTTTCTTTACCATTATTGATTTAAAGTCAATTTTGTTTGATATGAGAATAGCTATACCTGCTCTCTTTTGGTTTCCATTTGCATGGAATATTTTTTCCATCCTTTCACATTGAGCCTGTGCATATCTTTGTGGTTTAGATGTGTTTCTTGGAGATAGCAGACACATGGGTTGTTTTTTCATCATTGTAGCCAGCCTCTGTGTTTTGAGTGGCACATTTAAACTGTTCATGTCGAGAGATAGAATTGATATATGGGATGCTGTTCTGTTCATTCTGTTGGGTAGTACCTTATTGTGCTATTGTTTTATAAGAGTTATGAGCTTTAGCTTTTGGGAGTGATTTTGCACTGGTGGGTATCTATTGTGCTGATTCATGTGTAATGTAGTTCTGAGTATTTCCTGCAGGGCAGATCTGGTCATGGCAAATTCCCTCAGTGTTTGTCTAGAAAACACCTAATTTCTCCATCAATTGTGAAACTTAATTTTGTGGGATACAGAATTCAAGGCTGGCAGTTGTTCTGTTTAAGAAGATTGGAGATGGGGCCTCAAGCCCTTCTGGCTTGTGAGGTTTCTTCTGAGAAGTCTGAAATTAACCTGATGGGTTTTCCCTTGTAGGTCAGTTGTTGCTTACATCTTGCTGCTTGTAGAATTTTCTCCTTCATTTTGATTTTTGCTAGGTTGATTACTATTTAATATGTGTCTTAAAGATGTTCTATTTGCTATGAATCTTTCCGGTGTTCAATCACCATCTTTTTTTTTTTTTTGAGACAGAGTCTCACTTTGTTGCCCAGGCTAGAGCGAGTGCTGGGTGTCAGCCTAGCTCACAGCAACCTCAAACTCCTGGGCTCAAGCAATCCTTCTGCCTCAGCGTCCTGAGTAGCTGGGACTACAGGCATGCGTCACCATGCCCGGCTGATTTTTTCTATATATATTAGTTGACCAATTAATTTCTTTCTATTTATAGTAGAGATTGGGCCTTGCTCTTGCTCAGGCTGGTTTCGAACTCCTTCGCCTCGGCCTCCCAGAGTGCTAGGATTACAGGCGTGAGCCACCGTGCCCGGCCAATCACCATCTTTTATCTGGATCTCTCGCAATACCAGGGAAGTTTTCCCCAGTAATTCCCTCAGAATAGATTTTCCATGCTTTTAGCTCTTTCTTCTTTCTTCTTCTCCCTCAGGGATACCTATAATTCATATATTCGTTCACTTCACATAGTCCCATATCTCTCAAAATGATTGTTCAGCCTTTTAAATTCTCTGTCTCTTTAAATGACTGGGTTGGCTCAAGAGCCTTGTCTTTAAGCTCTAATTTTCTTCTTGGTTTAGTCTGTTGCAGAACTTTTCTACTGTGTTTTGATGTTCCCTAAATGATTCTTTCATTTCTTTAAGTTCTATAATATCCTTTCTTTTGTTTTCTAGCACTTTAGTGACTTTTTCATTAATTTCCTGAAATATATTTTTTACTTCTTTTTGTTGGTTTTAAACTCCCTCTTCAATTCTATTCATCTTACTTGTCATCCATATTCCGAATTCCATTTTTGTCATTTTGGCAACTTCCTTGTGGTTGGAGTTCACTACTGTAGCTCTATTGTGAGCAGTTGAGGATGTCGAACTGTTTTGTTTTTTCATGTTGCCAGGGCTCTTTTGCTGGTGTCTTCTCATTGAAAATCTCTTTTCTTGACTAAGGGGTAATAGGTTTGCAGGACACTTGTTCTGTGCTGGGAACTCTCCTGCTTAATTAAAAGAAGGGATGGTTCCTAGATGGCACTGTTTTTCCTATTCTGGAATGCTGACATTGCAGGGGAAGGCCGTGTGCGCTGAAAGTCTGTAATTCAGCTATTTTAATTCATCCTGTTCACCTGTGACTGCTGTGGCAAAGCCTGTGCTGTTTGATCTTTTTGCTGAGTGTTGGGTTGTTCCCCAGATAGTGGTAGGAAGTTTGAGCTGGGTGAGATCCTCTCCATGGAGGCTGGCATTGTGGGGGTCTCCCTGCAGAGGTGACAGTGGCAGCTGAGTTAGGCTATCTAGGCAGTGGTCATGGGTTCCTGGGCTGTGGGCATTTGCTCAAACCAGGTCCCAGTGTAATGGGGACTTGAGGCTAGAGAGTCCCTGGAGGGGTGTTGGAGTTTGGAGCAGTTCTGCTGACCTTGCAGTGGTGGTGGAGACTCAAGTGTGAGGTCTTGGGGTCCAAGTGCAGCACTGGAATCTCGGAAGCAGTGTCCAAAGCCTGGTGAGAGCTCTGGAGCCACAGGGGTGGAGCCTCAGACCTGGGACTAGAGAGGAGCCAGAAGCAGGGCTGTTCATGTGGCAGGCTGATCTGACCTGGAGGACAGAGGCAGGGCTGAACAGGTGGAAGACTGTTTGGACCTGAAAGGTGGAGTCATGGCTGTACAGGTGGCAGGCTGTTCCACAGGCTCAGGGACTAAGGATGCCAAGTCAAATGATTTGGGGGCAGTTCCAGTGGCCCGGGGACCATAGAGTTCTCCCTGCGCCTCTCCCCAGGACCCACTGAAGCAGTCACCCAAAGCTTCCTAGGCCAGAGCCTGTGGCACTCTAGTCAACTCCTCTGTTCAGATCCCCCTGTGCTGGAGGGGAGGGGTGCTTGGCTTCTAGCCGTAGGGTACAGCTCAGGGGAGCCTCCACTTGGTCTTCTCCCTCCCCAGCCTAGTGGGGGTGATGTGAAGGCTACTGCTGCAATGCTGAGCCCTGTGCCTACTTGGGGCTCTGCACCTGAGAGCGCAGGATAGCGTTAGTTGCACAAACCTGGGATCGCTTGCCGCCAGATTCTTACTGTGCCTGTTGCCCAGTGCAATGACTCTGCACAGACTCTAGGCAGGTCTCGAGTCTGTCCTGACAGAGGCCTGTGGAGGTGGTGGGAACCCTGTCACAAGTCAGCCACAGAGCCTGTGGGGTGAGCACAGTGCCCCAGAGCTCTATCCTCCTATTCTTCCCTGTGCACAGATGCCTCCCACAGATCACTTTTATCTTGTTGAATGTATTGCCCTGTCACCTTCTTTTTCACACTGAGTGTTCCGTGTTGCTTCTCTGTGGTTTCACAATGTTCCTTCCAAGAAGAGCTATCTGTAGGTGGGCACCTGTCTGCAACTTACACCCCTTTCCTTGAGAGCGGCGTGCTCACAGGCTGCTTCCAGTCCGCCATCTTTCCCAGCTCCAAAGTGACAAATGCACATGAGTAAAGTACAAACCACTGTGACCACTGAAAGTTCATCACCAAGAATATCAGTTCCCGGAGATCCTAAATCATCATTCCTTAAAAATCAGATGTTGGGTGAATTAAAATTTAAATTGGAGAGCAGGGAGCACAGCCAAGCTCAAAGCCATACCACTGACATGTCCCTTGCCTCAGATAACTTGACTTCCAAGGCCTTCCTGACTTATGCCCAGGTCAGGAGCCTGGCAGCTCCCCATGCGCTGCATGTCCACTTGGAGGACAGAGGGATCAGCACGGAGCAGAGGCAGGACCCCTGGGTCCCTAAGCATGTCTTATGGAAGGGCCAGGATGAGACTTTTCCCTCCAGCTACAGAGAGTGAGCCCTCTGGGACCCAAAGAAGAAGAGGTTGGTGGAAGGGATGAAGGGTTGGGACATCCCAAATTTATCTGGAAAAGGGCAGCTCCGTGTCATCGTCTGTGCAGAACAGAGGCCTCGGAAAAGAAGAGCTGCCTTTACTGGGACTACTGAAGCTCAGAAAATTATGACACACATGGGGAAGTTTCTAAAGAAGAAATTGGGGCATGAAATAGGTACCAATGGCTCCAAAAAGTCCCTTATGTCCTCAACTTATCACAAAACAGAACTGCAAGCGCAAGAAGAGCCCACCCAGGACCATCCCTTCAACAACATGGCTCCCTTCAGTTAAGTGACCCATACCAAGTCTGGTAGCCAAAAAGTTGCCTTTGCTGGCCAGAGTTTGCTCACAAGGATTAGATCAGAGACAAGGACAGACAGTCCCAGAAAGGTGTGACATTTAGGTACCAGCCACTGTGGCCGGAGCATTCCCCATCCATCCCCCAAAGGGAGCCTGTGCACCGTGCAAGCCCCACCTGCAGGCGTCAAGTTGGCCGAGTGCCTCCAGCTGCCCCCCCCACCCACTGCTGAATACACTGTGTGCAGAGATTTGCTTCTGTAGACAGCAAATGCTTTCCAAGCATTTCCAAGGAGGAAAATTCAGCCCCACCCCCCAAAAACAGTAATTCATTCCTTGTTGAGAATATTGTCTTGAGGATATTGATTCTCCTCAATATATGTTCTAATAAGAACAGTGTGGTTTTCATGTACTGTGTTGGGGGCATAGATTTTGAGTAATCTAGAGCTTGTGCTTAGGGAAAGGTAGGAGTTAGTTCAGCTCTTCCTATTGCCTATTTTTGGCTTCTAAAAAATGACCAGTCCCCTGGAGCTCTTGTTGAGGAATGGACATGATGTGCCCCCAAAAGTCCCTTCCCTCCCTGATGAAGTTCGAAGAGATGGGCTCTGTTTCCTAGCTCTAGGCTGTGCCTTACTGACGTTGCATGGCTGTTTCATATCCTTTAGAGCAAGCAGTAAGGAAGATAGGTCTTCCATATCTGACAAGGGAGGGTCACAGACAGGTATATTTTTCTGAAAATAGTGGCTTACTCAGTTTTTAGAAAAAGTTGTCAGTGACCAAAGGATCACACAGGTGGGTGGGAGTGTTTGGGGGGTTATTGCTACAGTGGACACTGGGCTGGTTGGGGTAGAGTCTCAGGAAAAGAGTAGATAGTGCCTAAGAATCCATCATGGGAGCATGCTTGTGTGTTAGGAAAGCATACTTTGACCTTGCTGTTGTGGTTTCCTTCCTGGAAAGTCACCTTGGGGAAGTGGTAACCCTCCCAGAATTATTTCTTCAGGCTGCCTGGATTGATGACATTTGCACAGCAAAAGGATCACCCAGATGTTAGTGGCAGGAATGTTGCCCAGGCAGCCACTTACTCCCCAAAGTAAAATAAAGCTGAGAATAAGGAAAAGATGCCTTACAGTGAGTGGAAAGTAAAAAAAGTGAAGGTCGAGTGTGGTGGCTCATGCCTGTAATCCTAGCACTCTAATCTTAGCCAAGGCAGGTGGATCGTTTGAGCTCAGGAGTTCAAGACCAGCTTGAGCAAGAGCGAGACCCTATGTCTACCAAAAATAGAAAAAAATTAGCCGGACAACTAAATATATATAGAAAAAATTATCCAGGTATGGTGGTGCATGCCTGGAGTCCCAGCTACTTGGGAAGCTGAGGCAGGAGGATTGATTGAGCCCAGGAGTTTGAGGTTGCTATGAGCTAGGCTGATGCCACAGCACTCTAGCCCGGGCAACAGAGTGAGACTCCATCTCAAAAAAAAAAAAAAAATGAAGATGGGAAAGAATGTCCTTGCTGGTGGAACAAAAGTATTTGTGTCTCATTATCTCCATATCATGATCACATCCTGCTTCCCCCTTGCCCAGTCTGATCCAGACACCACTTCCTTGAGGCTGATCAGGGCACTGCAGGGATTACTGATGCCATGTGGCAGAAGTGTACATGGGACTGTTATTTGGGTACTAAAGCAATATCTACAGGGCTGTGGTCTGGCATGGCAACCCTCTCTTTAGGGAAGGTGACCTCAGTGCCTTCCTTCTATGCATGCTTGATGACAACCTGCAAGATCTTGCCCTTAGTGTGTACAGTTCACCAATAAGAATGGAGACACCTTTGATCTTCATGGGCTTGGTGGAGCCATGGTAGATACCCCCCAGAACCCCTGCAGCTCCTGATCCAGAGGTGGGTCCTGGACTGTGCACCAGGGTTACAGATATTTGGGGGCTCACCATGGACCTTTACAGAATGCTCTTTTTGACAAAGCCTACATACATATCCACCCTTAAAATACGGGTCTGGAGAGAAGGCAACTCCACTTGTACAGACTGGGACTCAAAAATGGGGTGAGTTTCCTAGAGGACACTTGAGGTAGTTTCTTCAGAAAACTTTGTGAATGTGGGATATCAAAACAAAAACAGATGTCCACTACAGCCCCCTTACTCTACTTCTGTTTTCTTGTCCAGAGTTATGCCATTGACCCTGCATTGTCTAAAGCTTGGGGTTGTTGAAAGAATGCAGAGTCTGGGGAGACCCTGGAAAGGACAAAAGTTGGGATGGGTCTCAGGGTGAGGAACTTGTAGAGGTGGAGAATCAGGGGAGGACCCCAACACCCATGTGGATAGACCAGCCAGTAATCTGGCCTTTCAATTCCTCCATCTTCCCATCTTAGGGTCCCTCCATTCCAGTCCTGTGACTGCCACACCTGGAACTTACTATCAGGAACGCCTCTGACATCTGCAGCCTGACATTCCATCCCTTGACCTATCCCCTTATTCTTCCAGCATATGCTTTCAATTTGTCATTTTTTTCCACTCCAGGTCATTAAATTTTTTACTCATCTATCTGCTAAGTTATTGTCTTCATTTCCTCCCTCATCAAAACAGACTTCAGGGGCTATCTGATAACCAATATTTAAAAAGCTCCACTTTAAATAGTCCTCATCCAATCCCCTTTAATCCTTCCAGTGTGGCAAAAATTTTAATTCTCTGCCTTTTCCAGAAATGGCTTCCTATAAGTAACTGATCACTATTGGATTTAATCTCACAAGTCTACGGGCTCCATGATAAAATTTATGGTCAACACCACCACTATCTGGAAATAATTCACTCATTTATTCCAAAAATAATTATCTGGTGCTTAATAATAGTAAACAAAACAAATAGAACTTAGGTCACTTTTTTTAGTTCACTCTCTCAAATCTGTTTCAAACCTTCTGCACTCTGCTCAAACTTAGGCCATCTCCACTTGCTTAGCAGACGTGTTGGACTCACCATTCACAGAAGAACAGAAGCCATTAGGTGGGAACTTTTCATCGAAAAACTATGTCCATCTCTCCTTTCCTTCTTTCTTCCTGTTATGTACAAAGAAATTTCCTTCTAAGGTTTCTATTCTCAAAGCAATTACACTTCCCAAACTGTCTTTGTACTGAGAGATAGCTAAAACATAGTCTCTTTTTTTTGGTAGGGGAGAAGGGGACAGGGTCTCACTCTGTTGCTTGGGCTGGAGTGCAATGGCATCACCATAGCGCATTGCAACCTCAACCTCGTGGGCTCAAGTGATTCTTTTACCTCAGCCTCCTGAGTAGTTGGAACTATAGGCATGAGCCACCATGTCTGGCCATAAAACTTAGTCTTGATGGACTGATCCACCCTTCCCAGCTATCCTTATTGCCCCATCCCCTCTCTTCATGAGGCACTAAACATATTTTATTTTTTAAAGCATTTAATGAAAAAAAAATGTTTACACATACGCAAGAGCAGATAAAACAGTATAACTTCCTGTGTACCCACCACCCAACTTTGACAATTACCATGCCTTATGCACCCCATCTTTTACACATGATTAAAGTGTAAAAGTACATTTAAACATCTTGCCATCTATCTCTTAGTAGATATGCTATGTGCCCCATTTCAGTGTTCTCATATTCCTTTGATACTTATCACATGAGGGTCACACTTATCCATAACAGATGTACACAGCATTGGTGACTGAAACACACTGAGCATTACTGTATTTGCCATCAGCTCTGCTCTGTCTTGTATGCAACCCTAAGAAATCATTTGAATTCCTCCCCCCACTTCATAAAAGCAGTAATCTTTATAGAACAAATTCATTGCATAATAATGCAATCCCTAATCACACAGTAAGTGTAACATGAAAAATGTATGGAAGTAGAAAATTTTACATGTTGATAAAAACTTGAAATTGCTATGTAAATGTTTTCAAACATTTAGGAAAAAAACAAATTTTTTTGGTAATACGTTTAAAATGACTTATTATGTTTCCAGTTAAATATAGTAGATCAAATATACTTGTTTATCTCCTCTCCTTCCCCAAATATCATTAAAAGTAAAGGATTATATGAAAAAAAAATGCTCAACATCTTTAATCATCAGGAACATACAAATCAAAACCACTATGAATGGGTTTTCTGTTCTGTTCCATTGGTCTATGTCTCTATTTTTGTGTCTATATCATGCTGTTTTGGTTACTAGAGCCTTGTAGTATAGTTTGAAGTATGGTAATGTGACACTTCCAGATTTTTTCTTTTTGCTTAAGATTGCTTTGGCTATATGGGGACTTTTCTGGTTCCACACACAAAGCATAGAATGATGATAGCATAGAATATTCTAGGCATAGAATGGCATAGTGATGCCATTGCACTCCAGCCCAAGCAACAGAGTGGTTCCCTAGCAACAGGTAGGCTCCCCTACCAAAAAAGAGACTAATTTTTCTAGATCTGTGAAATATGATGTTGACATTTTGATGGGGATTGCATTGAATCTATAAATTACTTTGGGTAGTATGCACATTTTAACAATGTTGATTCTATCGGTTCATGCACATGATATGCTTTTCCATTTGTATCATCAACAATTTCTTTCCTCAGTATTTCATAGTTTTCTTTGTAGAGATCTTTCACCTTCTTGGTTAAGTATATTCCTACTTTCTTTGTAGCTATTATGAATGGTACTGAGTCTTTGATTTAACTCTCAGCTTGATTGTTATTGATGTTTAGGAATGCTATTGATTTATGTATGTTGATTTTATAACCTCACACTTTGCTGAATTTATTTATCGATTCCAGGAGTCTCTTTGTGGAAGTTTTCTAGATATAAGATCATATCATCAGCAAAAAGCAATAGTTTGACCTCCTCTTTCCCAATTTGGATACCCTTAATTTCTTTCTCTTGCTGATTGCTCTGGCTAGGATTTCCAGAACTATGTTGAATAGAAGTGGTAACAGTGGACATCTTTGTCTTCTTCTGGTTCTTAATGGGAATGCTTTTAACTTTTCCCCATTGAGTATGATGCTGGCTGTGAGTCTGTCTATATGGCTTTTATAATTTTGAAATATGTTCTTTGTATGCCAAGTTTGTTGAGGGCTTTTATCATGAAAAGGTGCTGAATTTTGTTGAATGATTTTTCTGTATCTACTGAGATGATCATATGATCTTTTTTTTTTTTTTTGAGACAGAGTCTCGCTTTGTTGCCCAGGCTAGAGTGAGTGCCATGGCGTCAGCCTAGCTCACAGCAACCTCAAACTCCTGGGCACAAGCAATCCTGCTGCCTCAGCCTCCCAAGTAGCTGGGACTACAGGCATGTGCCACCATGCCCAGCTAATTTTTTCTATATATATTAGTTGGCCAATTAATTTCTTTCTATTTATAGTAGAGACGGTGTCTCACTCTTGCTCAGGCTGGTTTCGAACTCCTGAGCTCGAGCAATCCACCCGCCTCAGCCTCCCAGAGTGCTAGGATTACAGGCATGAGCCACTGCGCCCAGCCTTATATGATCTTTGTTTTTGCTTCTGTTTATGTGGTGAATCACATTTCTGTTACGTGGTGAATCACAATAAATCACATTTATTGAACCCATAAATGTGGTTCAAGGTGTATCTTGAATCATCCTTGCATGCCTGGGATGAAGTCCACTTGGTTATAGTGGATTATTTTTTGAAGTGCTGCTGAATTTGGTTTGCTATTATTTCATTGAGGATTTTGCATCCATATTCATGAGGGATATTTGTCTGTAGTTTTCTTTTCTTTTTTTTCTTGTGTCCTTCCCTGGCTTTGTCCTTTCCTGGCCAGTAGCCCCAGGTGCTACTGGCTTCATAGAATAAGTTGGGGAGTATTCCGTCCTTCTTGATGTTATAGAATAATTTCTGCAGTATGAGTACCAACTCTTCTTTGTAGGTCTAATAAAATTTGTAGGTCTGTGAATCCATCTAGTCCAGGGCTTTTTGTTTGTTGGAAGATTTTTTTATTGCTGCTTCAATCTTTTTGCCCATTATTGGTCTGTTCAGGGGTTCTATTTCTTCCTGATTGAGTCTTGGGGAGTTGTGTGTTTCCAGGAATTTGTCCATTTCCTCTATATTTTTGAGATTTTCATAGTATTCACAGATGATATTTTGCATTTCTGTGGTATCAGTTGTAATATCTCCTTTTTCGTTTCTGATTGAGCTTATTTGGGTCCTTTCTCTTCTGTTCCTCATTAAATCTAGCAAGAGGTGTATCAATTTTGTTTACATTTTCAAAGAACCACCTTTTTGTTTCATTGATCTTCTGTATTTATTTTTTGTTTGTTTTTAATTTCATTTAGTTCTGCTCTGAGCTTAGTTATTTCTTTTCTTCTGCTGGCTCTGGATTTGGTTTGACCTTCCATTTCTAGTTCCTTGAGACATGTCCTTAGATTGTTAATTTGTGACTTTCTGTCTCTTTGATGTAAGTATTTAAAGGCTATAAATTTTCCTCTCAGAAATGCTTTTGCTGAAACCCATAGATTGTGATGCTTGTGTCCCCTTTGTCATTCAGTTTGAGGAATCTTTTGATTTCCATCTTAATTTCATTGTGATCCAACAATCATTCAGCAGCAGGTTGTTTAATTTCTATGACTTTGTGTAGAATGGAGTGTTTCTCTTGGAGTTGATTTCTAGTTTTATTCCACTGTAGTCTGAGAAAATATGGTGTGATTTCTATTTTTTGAATGTGTCGAGCCATGTTTTGTGGCCTAAAATATGATCAATCTTGGTAAATGTTCCTTGTGCTGATGAGAAGAATGTATATATTCAGTAGTTTTCGGATAACTGTTCTGTAAATGTCTGTTAGGCCCATTTGTTCTAGAGTCCTGTTTAAGTCTAGTGTTTCTTTATTCATTTTCTGTCAGTAGGGTGTTGAAGTCCCTATCAATTACAATGCTGCTGTTTATCTCTTTGCATAGATATAGTGGGGTTTGCTTTATGAATCTGGGCACTCCTGTGTGGTGCATAAATATGTAGGATTATTATGTCTTCTTATTGAATTCTCCCTTTACCATTACATAATGACCATCTTTTTTTTCTTTACTATTGTTGATTTACAATCAATTTTATCTGACATAAGAATGGCTATACCTGATTTCTTTTGATTTCCATTTGCATGGAATATTTTTTTCCATTCATTCACCTAGAGTCTATATAAATCCTTGTGGGTTACATGTGTCCTCTGGAGACAGCAGATATTTGGCTTGTATTATTATTTTTTTCGGACTTCACCCAAAAAGACTGAACCTTGCTGAACACACCCCAGAGAAAGCTATTCATGGATGTGATCTGGGAAACGTCGGTCATCTGATCTCCGCAGGTGCCTATCAGCATTCACTTATTAATTAATAAACATCAAGAACAGCTCCCCATATCACTCCCTGCTCCTGGTGGAAGGGAAGACGAGCAGTTGTTCAGTAGGTATAGAATTTCAGTTTTGCAAGATGAAGAAGTTCTAGAGATCTGTTGTACAAAAACATGCATGCAGCCGATACTACCACACACTACACCTAATAATAGGTAATTGGTAAATTTTATGTT